CTTACGTTCTTTCCAAGAACCAGTACGAGTGTAGCGGATCGCAATCCGCTACCTCCAAAGTACTTAAGAACCTTAACCATGGTAAAGACGCACTTCCGTTCAAAATTGGAACGGTATTTATTTATTTTAGTTGCGGCAGAGCCGCCAATATCTAAAGCCTTAGGATTCCCTCATTACTATACAAATACCTAGTTAATATAGTAAAACCCAATTAATGTGCATTACTACTGATAACTTTGCCACGTAGTGGATTCTTGTTAGGGTGTAACCACACCATTGTGTGATTACTTCAAGTTGTGTAATCCACACATATGTACGATCACACCATCTTGTGCAACCCGTCCCTTCATATAAGGGTACGTTTAACCTTTTTACGTCAGTTGATTCACAGTACTCATTGAAATTTTTTCATTCGTTATGTGTTCCGTTTGCCTCTGCTAGCCTTGCTCCCAGCCAGAGTAGTGTGTACTCAGCGCGCAATATTCAATACCGTCAGAATACACTCTAGAATTTATTGAGCCGTATCCAGATCGACGTAAGCGAATCCAACGGACTATCCCCCACTAAGACAGATAAATTGGGCGTCTCGTCAACCAAAGCATATATATATGATGAAGTTACTGTATATAGACGAGTTCTGCGTTGTCTAATGTAAAACTGGACTTGATAAGTGGGGATATTTTGCTCTGCGATCTCCGGTGCAGTTGATTGTGAGATTACACTCCGCCATGCGACCCACGCATTCGTCGAATCGTTTTATTGTGGGCTTTTGCTGACACAAACATTCAAATTCTCTGCACCTTGAACACAATTTGCCTAGATTTGCTGTAAAGCACAGATTAATTCGGAACAATAACCTCGAGCAGCCCATGTTGGCGACAGATTTGCCGAGAAACATCATCATTAGTATTTGGCCCCTAACAGCAGCGAGGTGAGCTACCTTGCCCAGTCGTTCACGACAGCCGTTATATCAAGACGTGGAAAGTCTAGTTTTACTCAATTACTGCTAATTCATCGATGCTGAACGTTCTCTCGAATAAAGTATGATATTTGCCAAAACCGATAGTCTGACCAACGGCATCGCCCCACGCGGCGGGGCTCAACCCACTGACTCGCTTCGTAAAGGCGTACATAAGCGCTAACCCACTTATACATGATGCGCCATGAGTGCATAGGCTAAATGCTCCACATTTTCTTCTTGCTCTGGATGTTGCAGTTGCTATTCTAAATAATTCTCATGATAAGGAAAAACGGTGCAATATGCAACCAAACGCTCCGAAAAAGCTAATTTTGAGCTCAAGACCTCCTTGTTTCCCAAAATTCTTGAGCAGTGCAAAACCTACCCGCACGTTTTACATTTTGCTTAATCTGGGCGCTATGTCACAATCGAGACACGCGACAGTTTAAACTCTTGACGACGTTAAAGCGTATGTGCCGACCAGTTACGCCGGCCCGGCTCATGTCTTGTCAAGAAAATATGTGGTAAAAAGATAATATCTTACCATTTCTGTGAGAGGTTTGGCAAATATGTCACTGAGCGCGAAGGCGCAGAATCTGTACAGAAAGCAAACGGCTAGATATACCTAACCTTGGCGAGGGCACACTTCATAGCATATAGCTTCATGTTATAAACAAGATAATATTATCTGCCGCTCTTAGCTGGCGAGCCTCAAACATGAAGAAACGCTCAGCCCTCCGGCTTATTAAATCTGGAGTGATGTATATCATATGGCAACGGCTGGCCAGTCATAATCCAAATATACATCCAATCCAGAAAAGTAAAAAGGTAAATATTTGGCCAGTTGAATGTTGGTGGCTCATTAATCTCTAGATCTGAAGGGCTCGTGCTCTACCGCCCCCTAATACCAGTTTGTAAGGATTGCAGCGCATGTCGGCATTAATTTCTGTATACTTATGCAAGTAAATACCAGGCCAAGTCATATCCCATGTCCTAATGATACATTGGCACTGGCTAAATAAGAATTCTCCGATCACTAAGAGATCCGATCGCAGACCATGCGTCTCAATTAAAATCCCAGAAAGAATGTTCTTATTTATGATCGGCTTGTTCGGACAAAAGACACTCTAGCAGTGCTTGCAAGTCTTTAACGTGAATGTTCACAATGAATTTCCCGTGCTTTGCACAACTTTGAGCGAATATGTCATCAAAAAAGGTCAGCGTCGCGACTTAATACCTTCTATCGCAACAAAACAGTATATATTTACTGCTCCACACGGTGGGAACATCACGCGGATGAGCTGACTTAGTGGTATATTCAGATCGTGAAATGGTGGTCCATCCTAGACAAATCCTGGACTTAGCGGCACTTATTCGCTTTTGCTTGTCTCCACCAGCCGTGACACAGAATATCCGACACATTGTTGCACATATTTGCCATAATCAATACCACAAGAAACTCCGGCTTACAGCCATATCACAAGTTCCATCAGAGGTTAACTTTGGGGACCACAACATACTGTCGCACAGTATTTCCAATCTCGAGGCTGCTTCTCACTTGCGCTTCTGCCGTTAGGGCTTTTATCAAGCCAATCAGCAACATTGTCACTCATCAATTAGGACAACTCTATACCCGGCACCAAAGATATCGCGGCTTTTTGAACGCGCTGAGTACATTTCAGCTACCTAGCAGAATATAATTATGAACGACCGAAGCTCCACTCGAGAGATGCGCAAGGCGCATAGATCTTTCATTTTTCACGCGGTCCGTGGCACATGGCGTACAAACAACACCATATATAGGATGGGATCGTATCCCATATTCATGTTCAGGACGAGACAATGTTCCACACTGCCAAAGCTTCCAAATTTTACAGAAAGGCTATAGAAAATCTATTACAGATTGACTCAGGTCTCCAGCGCAAGTTGCACGGATATATAATATCATCACTACCTCCGCATACCGTCTACGACTGTCGCCAGTCACGCAACGTACAAAATCTTATTCGCAACACATTATTGAGACTTTCGGCGGCTCCAAAAATCTCGGGATATTTTTATCGACCACCGTTAAGGTTGTGAGCCCGCCTCTGCATCTGATCATCTCCTTTTTAAGGCTAATTTCCTAACCCCTGTCTCACAAGTGATTCTTTTCATAGCAGATTAGCGCTTCCAGGCAATCGACTACTGCTTCCAGTCGTTCGACCACCAACTGCCTTGTTTCTCCGTGACCATAAACAGTCATACGCCAACCATATGCATCAAACTGTCTCAGGGAAAGAATATCAAAAAGTTGTATTCCGTCCTCATAGAAAATAGAGTCAAAGTAGACGCTGTCGTTCGATTGACGACAATTATTATCAAGTTTTACGGGGTTACCCAGCGACTTCACAAAGAAGTTTTTGTCGCGAAGAGTCAACGCTCATGAACGCACAGAGAATGGGCCCGGACGCCACTGGGCGCTGTCTTAAAAGAAATAGTCTTGTTTAACTGATATTAAATGCACCTGCCTACTTATTTTGATTATACAATTACATAAACTGTATTGCGTGAGGCTAGCCGACTACTTGTTCCACGTGTATCTTCTCTGCAGAGCCTCGTCGCCTCCTTCCCGCTCAAGTACATTGGTACATCTGAAGTTTGCGCAATGATATAATGTCAAAGTGCACCATAAGGTACGTATCAAATACAGTTACCATATTCATGGAGGATCTCCGTCTAGGTGCGGCTCGAACTGATATCTTATGCGCTCACTTATCCTCTCTCGAGGAAGCGTCAAGTGTGGCTCTGAACGCCAAACTATGCTTCCATTCCATGACTGACGGTTGGAGTGCAGGATATCGAGCTGGGGCGCTGGATATAAGCCCACTCGATGCGACGTACTTCAGCCAGGGCGAGGGAATAAAAGTACAATTTTCGCTGCTTAGCAACGCCGTAATTTTCCGCATGATACATCTGGGGTTGCCAGAAGTATACAAGCTGCAAATCTCATTCTCTCACAATTATAACGATGGAGTTTCAAGTATCGTGGACTGACAGGCTCGTCATCGGAAAGCATAAAGTCCCAGTCGGCACACGGCGACTTACTGAAAAATTCCTAGGTCTATTTACCTAATGGAAGTTGAGATTAATGGAGCTCAGCTCGTATCAGAGATACTTTATCTAAAAGAGGATGGTCTCACCACTCAGATTTGCTGGTAGTTTACATTAGCAGTCGGGCTTTGCAACGCCATGAGAAGCCCTGATAGATGTTATGTCGTCGTTCGATTTCGTGCGATGAGCGAGGTGACATTATACGTAAAAGTTGTTGATGCCAACTATAAATACCATGTCCGAATGTATCTCTTCTCACTGCAGCGATCTACCCTGACAACACGGTCTTGGAGCGCGTGGATATGTCTTAGGGGCTTCTAAAACACCATCGACGTTTAATTCTCTGATAATATTGATGTTTACACCGCATCAAGGATACGCACATATCTTTATTGGCGATATATTCGACCGTGAATATGCAAAAATGAAAGCTAGATGTGGACATCCATTTCAGACACTTACGAGATTTGTTGAGTATATAAGCTTGATTGAGTCGATCATCAACATAAAGAAAAGGGGTCTTTGAAGCTGAAAAAAGAAAAAATAGCGCGAAAATAATGAATCTCCATAACAAAAATACTGGATGTTGCTGGAGCATAAAAGAGCGAGCTTTCACGCCTGAAAAAGCATTGTGTAGGTCCCACTCTGGTCCCCCGATCTGAACTGGCCATTTCATGTCCTCTGTGACGCTTCGGCCAATACCAAAGACTGGCGTTGATGCGCTAATTTCATCAAGAATATCAATCCAATATGACCGCTTGGGTGCCTTGGCGAGCCAATTCGTACGATTGCACAGCTAAAACAGCACCTTGAGTTTGTCATGTCCGCATCAAACGCACGTCAAGACTTTCGATAATAGTCAACCTACCTCCTCAAGAGTTTGGTTCCGAGTTTAAAGTTCCTATCTACCAGCTCTGCTTGCAATACAAGACCAGACTCATTTCCATGTTTAGCGGATTGCTAGCAAGCGCATTTAAATCAATATAACATTATATTTCAAAGTGGCAAAATTTCCCTCATTCCGAGAGCGTATGAGAAGCTGTACTTCAATACCGCAAAATGTTGTGGACGCCACAACATTGTATTCAAATTTGCCTCATCAGCGTGTGTGACAGGATCAAACAGTGTCTAGCGCTGCTCACTAGCAAGCTGGACCGGCCCTGTTACTTAGCAAGCAGCTGTATCAGCATACTCATGGGAATGAAGTGATGATATCACGATGGCGAGATATTGAGCCGCACTTCGTAATTCGCGAGTAAGGCAGTAGGCAACGATCTAGTCTGACGTTCTATTATATATGTTTTAGCACCTTAACATTGTTAGGTGATGTGTCGTCATCATTATACGCTCAAATTGAGTCATGCAATTCTCAACACTGTTTTCGTAAGTAATATGTATGGATTTAAGGTCATGTTACCGGTAATGTTGGTATGGGACCTTTTGTAGGCCGCTTGAGCAGAGTGGCTCATTTCTCTGCTTTCGGCGACAAAAAGATATACCTAAGTTGCTTCATTCGCCATAATGGCTTGCCAGTAGCAGCCACTTCGATTTGGGCCACGCAATCTACAGCAACATTCTGGCGGGCTCAGTCTGAGGAAGTTTGATTATGGCCATCTAGAGACCGATTTATATGCGCAATGCGTTAATTGCGTGGTAGAGGATGATCTCCAAACTACATGCGCAGACTGCGCATGAGCGACTTATTAGGTTCTTGTCGAGCAATGATATATGCTCCAACAGGCTTCCCAATCTTTTTAAAGATGGTCCAACGGATCCAAGTGTCTCTCACACTTCCACAAACCTATTTCAGATCTGGATTGGCATACTAGATCCGATTTCATGCCTAAGAGACGGGCGACCGAAGCTCCCAATGGTGCACAATGAGACTCTCGGAGATAATCAACATGCTTCGTCAAACGCAGAAACTCAGTAAAACTTGCCACGCAGGAGCCTCTTCCACTTGTATAGCTCCATTCGCAAGGCCACGTTACCACATCGACATAGCTGTCCTGGTATTACTGATGCACATATTCACTGCCTTCGCTTCTGTGGGTAAGCAGGCGGTGCATCGTTCAAATTCACTTTTGTACGTTACTCAACCGCTTTCGATAAATTGTGAGGTCCAGCAATCTAGCAGCAGACTCATGGTGATGCTATGGCTGAGATAGGTGCTAATGATGGGCGACGGTGAACTACCGATTTCATTCTGATGCCATATCGATCAAGGTTATATACTCGTTGAAGCATCGTAGTAGCGTGCGTGCGACCCATAACATCTTAGGGCATCACAGACCTGGTATTGTCTCCAACTTCCTTTGGTTTGATTACCCAAAAGTCCCCCTAAGAAGTCCACAAACCTACCAAAAATGGAAAGCGGAATTATTTAGCACTTCTTGATTTCGCAAGGTTTGGTATTAAGCGGCTTTCCAATCGGACGTTTTTCTGCTCAAATGGTAAGTAAAGCTCAAAACTGAGGAAGCAAGAAACCTTACATATCGAGTACCCAAAGTTAGCAATATATTTCATAGAGCTGTCAACAGACACAACATTTTGTTAATGTCTTCATAAGTTTACACGACCGCTGATCCATCTGTAAACGGTACATTTGCCCGAAAAGATGGTTATAAATTACCTACGACCTCTCAGATCCACACACATAAGTGTTAGACCGTGGCATGTCAACCAGCTCTCGCGGGATGTGGTCGATCAAAGCCATAGTCACTACGTGTTGAGCCTTCTGAGATCTTATTAATGGTCGCTGTGAATTCTGTGCGCAGCGATTACAGGCTGATCATTATATGCGAGGCCTGTCTTTGTTGAACAGGTACCGATCTCTATCAATTCTGCAGCGAGGAGTTTGAAATGTTTCGAGAAATGGTACGATGCGAGCAATTTCAAGCGCAAATTCTGAGGATGCTTAAGCCTTGAAGTGGTCTGATAGAAAGGAGCGACAAATTTGTGAAGCGAAGACCGCGAGCCAAAGCTTAGCGGGTCACGTATACAAACCTTACTTTCCTTACCAAATTTGGCTTTACTGACAGCGTCCGATCATATTTGCTTAAAAAGCAATCAATAGAGTATTTTCCGGCGCAATTTGCCCTTTTAGAATTCACATTGAGTGTGTTATTTCTCTTCGGACAGATGTCTCGACGAGGACGTCTATGTGATCACCGAAATTCATGTTCTCATACAGCAAGGGTAATGAGCTTCAAACGTGTTACACTATTGTCCGTCGGATCATGAACGTAGCTCAACAGTACTTCGTCTAGAATTGTGGTGCGAAACCGTGATAAAATAGCGTAGGAAAGCACAGTAATCGGTTACTCGGTATCATATCCGAGTGTTCTAATTCTCCAAAAAAGAGGGTGTAGGACTTATGGGCTAACAATGCATTTACCATTACTGGCGATAAATGAAGACATCAATTTATGATATTTGGCTACTTACGTATATCCCTGTCATGTGCTTGAGCAATATCAATTTATCGTTTTTAAGGAGGTCTTGCTTTTGCGGCTCTGCACCTTATACTTGACTCTGTGCAAATGTCAACATGGACTCCATTACCCTGTGCAGGGTACTACGGAAATTCCGCCGCGACAACAAACTCAAAAAAGGTATCGCACATTTTTATATCGTTACTTACGAGGTGCTAGTGAACTACGGCGAGTCCGGACGTACAACACATGACCAACGAAGCTTATGCTGCTCTGGAGTTTGAGTTCCTTCACAGCTTCCCATCATAAGAACAGCAGTCAAAAGAACGGCATTACGACCTAGACTTTCAATCTAGTCGATAAGTTCGGTCATGAAAAAAGATGTGCCATTAAATCGCCCAGTGATATAAAAATGACGGTGACAAGATAAGTAGTCTGTAGAATTGAAGTGATGGGAAATATCATGGGTAATTTTACCATAACATGTATTAGAACTGACCCTTTAGTTTTCCTTCTGTCCTCTGTGCTTCAATATGAATCTGATTGACATTGCTAAATCTTTTTTCTATTTTTCTGAAGCTCCTCCTTTCTTCCTTAACTTCAATGCCATTGATCGAGTACGCTTAGCAAAAATTACGTCATCTTGTACGAAAATTTAGAGTAGACAAAGTTGCATATTACTTACGTCAGAAGAGAATAGTGACATCAAAACGATTATAGAAGTAATTGAGCTTCGCGATGGCGCAACAGCCCTGCTCGCGATCATGGGTCCCTGTACCATGCGAGAATCCATCGGCGGCACCGTGCCACCGTTCGCTTCATGTGTGTGCTGTGCGTAAGGATTCATTGTACATTTTTGGAGGTTCGTCTGTGGTTTAAATGATCATATCGTCTTTGCGCTACTGGGCGTCGATGCTGACTGGTTTTGCGAATGCCATTGCAAAGGCTACGACGGATCCAATCGCATTAATGACTTTTACGAATTCAACTTCAAGCGCAAAGTCTGGTCTGTTGTGCTGGCCATTGGCTCCGCTCCAAGCCCGCGCGATCGTCATGTATCTGTAGTGTACAAGGACTCGTTTTATGTGTTCGCTGGTTTTGACGGAAGCTCGCGTGTCAACGACTTTATCGAGTATAACTTCTGTACGTGATATCAAATGAATACGCAAGGAGTAAATTATGACGACTGGAAATACAGTGACGCAGCGGTGGAGTAATGTTGTGGTAAATGCTGGATTACCACCGACGGCCCGACACAGTCATGCTGCTGTTGTGTATGGTACGTTTTTTCCATACAATTAGTGAGACGGGTAACTGGATTATACTGATAAATTACTGCTTTTGATATGATAACTGCGCTATAGAGAAGTCAATGTACTGTTTCGGAGGATATGACGGAAGCTATCGAAATGACTTTCATGAGTTTAACTTTGGTACGATTTTGAATACACAATGCAAGAGAAAGCGACCATTTGATTGAACGATTTGAATTTAATGCAGAGTTTAACTTGTGCGCTTTCTCGATTTTTATCCAGAAACAAACACTTGGTCGCTAGTGGCAGCTACGGGACGTGTTCCAAGACCTCGGTAAGGTTTTGAAGTCCACTAAGATGATTAAATCTTATGATCGTTTCCGTACTAGATATCGGTCCTCGTTGGTGGTGCACAACCACACGTGCGTGCTATTCGGTGGTCATGATGGTTCTCGTCATTTAAACGATGTCCACGTGTATAATTTTGGTACAACTCCTTAATCACTTACACCGATGCATTAAATGAAAGCTCACACTTCGATGTCTGGGCCTCAGATACGCGTGTCTGGTCACTCCTCGCAACAGAAGGCTTAGCACCGATCGCCCGTGATAGCCATGTTGCTGTCATCTACTCAGATTCCATGTATATCTTTGGTGGCAGTACGGGCACTGCAGTAAATGATTTTTATGAACTCAACCTCAGTACGCAAACTGCTCGATATGACTATTAATTATATATTTGTTAACATCGCTCGATGTATTCAGACGTGGCGACATGGCAACCGATCCAATTTAACGGCCAGCCGCCAGGACAGCGCTTTTGCCATGTCGGCACCGTGTACGACTCGAGCTTAATCGTCTTTGGTGGCTACGATGGAAGTAACCGGCTGAATGACTTCAAAAAATTTCGTTTTGGGGACGAAGAACTAAAACTGGACATACCTGAGAGCACAATTATCAATGATCTGAGGATGTTAGTCAACAATGATATCATGAGTGATGTTACGTTCATTGGTATGTGAGAAACGGCCTCATTCTTTTTGATATCTGACAAAGATTCGCTTTGTACATTTCTTTTTATAGTTGAAGGAGTTCCTGTTTACGGACACAAAATTTTGTGTATTCGCTGCAATTATTTTAATGCGATGCTTACTGGAGAGGTACATGCTTTGATATACAGCATGAACAACCGAAATAATTGTTTTGTGTTTATTGCAAAACAAGATGTTGGAAAGCCGTGCGCGCGAAATACAAATAACGGATGTGCGCCGCCCCATTTTTATCTCCTTGTTGGAATATCTATATACAGATTACTTGGATGTTGCTGTTGAAGTAGCAATGGAGCTGTTTGTCACTGCCGATCAGGTAAATTATTATGTATATCATGCTTGATCTGCTTGTACGACTAACATTTAGCTTAATCCAGTATGGCGTTGAAAGATTAAAGCGCATCTGTGAAAGCAGAATGCTTGGATCATTGTGTGTTGAGAATGCTGCGACAATATTTCATGCTGCTGATCTGCACAACGCGACAGTATTGCGAGATCAATGCGTCAGCTTTATGCTTCACAACTTTGATGCGGTAACAAAGACCGATGCTTTTGAAGAAATGGGTCGAACTAACGTTGAGTTGGTCTTTGAACTACTTAAACGTCGTTAGTTCATGCATGCAGCTATGAAGTAATTTTTGTTGTTGTCTTGAGTTGATTCGTAAAAGCTGTGCTGCGCTTTTCATCAAGTCATAAATTGCAAATAATCTCACAGAATCAAAATTTGCAATTGTTTTAAAATGTGAGGTTCGCATCATCGGTTGAAATCGATAATGCGAAATCTACAGTAGTGACTCTCAGTCTCGGGATTTTCTTTCGCAAGCGTATCCTTAATCTCTACTTGCTCAACGCCCATGCCGAACTCAGCTAACGTTTGATGAACTACAGGCATCTGTTCCCTCCAAATTAGCAATTGCTCAGATGTTGAAGTCTCATGGTCTGCCATCTTCATGGCTTTCACCATAGATTGCAGTTGCTTTACCAATGGGCGTTCCCAAATCTTTTGTGCATGAGCTAAAAAGCGGTCAACGTGCAAACGAGGAAACGGGATAGCGCCTGGAGCTCGCTCTGTTGTTGGTTCGATACCGTGAAAATCTGAACCGCCCAGCTAAGGTATAAAAAGAATAAATCTGATTGAACGTGGTTGTTGATTAGAAAAAAATCACGCATTTTCGCACCATCAGTAAACCAGATTCTTTCGCCAGATTTCCATACATTTCAATTTTATTTGTGTCATGATAAACCTCAATGCCCTCCACGAATGATGGCAAAAACAATCATAATAAAGTGTTTATAAACCAAAATGCAAAAAGTGGAACAGTACCTGAATTCCCATTTTGGCCAATTTGGGAACGAGGGTCATGGGATCCTACGGTGATATTCCTTAAGCAATTGAATACTCAACAGATGTCAAATAATTATACCTTACAGCACCACGGATGTGCGAGAACAGAGATCCCACCAGCGCTTGCAATAAGCTTTATAGCTTCGTCAGGAGGAAAGTGTTCACCCTGATTTATAAAACAAAAGACTCCTCTTCATCAGCTTGTAAAATCGCAAATATAACTCAAATGCATACCTCAACATAAGCAGGACCATCATTATGCAGGTATCGCGCAAATGCTTGTCGAAAATTAGAAACATGACCAGCTTCTACTAGAGCCTCAGCAACGTGCGGTCGTCCAGGAGCAGCTTCTCCTGCAATTTCTAAAACTCGTTCCCACTCCAATCGAATCCCCATCGACTCCTACGGTTTAAATCTGTCAGTGGACCTGGGACTACACCCAAATTTATTGTTTTTGGTATACCAATTTCTTGAGCATTCCTTTGCCGCGCTTGTGTCTTCCTGTTCGGATCTTTAATAGTTGCTTCTCAAGCTCCAAACTATTCGATCCTGGATGGAAGTATCCTAGAATATGCAGATTCTCTCCACCTTTTACCTCAGCACTAATTTCAACACCGGGAATCACGAGCACGCCAAGTTCCTGTGCTGCAGAAATGGCTTCACTCACTCCAGCCATTGTATCGTGGTCTGTAAGAGCCATGTACGTGACCCCATTGGCTGCTGCTTTGGTTATAACTTCACTGGGCTTGAGCTTGCCGTCGCTACACAAACTACTCGACAACATTTTGAAATGTATGTATCATTAGTCAACGACAACATCGTCAGTACATACAAAGAATGACAAATATTAATGAAATTTGCACCTGTGTAAATGAAAGTCCCCACATGCAGTATCACCTAATGCAGGAGAATCATAAACCGCAGCGTAAGCCGAGGAGTGATGGTCATCATTCGACGGATACATGGCGTCACTTAACGCCTCATATTTTGCACCAAGAGTCGCACTATATGCATCTTTTGGAGCGCACTTACGATTGAAATTGGGCTGCAAGTTGACAGGTGTACGTTTGGAGCACTTTTTGACTTTCTTGTGTTTCTTACGATGCCCGTTCGACGACGCTGACACCATAGGAATATGGCGCATTAAATATTACCGTTATACATTATTGCCATAAATTTGTAGAGGGCTGCCAACTGCAGACATAATATTGATTTGATGGTTAGGACATTCCCAACTATGTCACCCTTCCGTACATCCAAGATCTGGATCTCAATCTAAGCATTTCTTTACTGTTCCTTTTCTTTCTTCTTCCGGCTATTTGTTCGCTTGACTTTCGCCTTCTCAGCTCTTTCGATCTTTGTCTTTTCGGATTCAGCTGCAGCAGCACCTTCGGCGCTTGTGTCCGATGGCTCTTGTAGTGCAATGCGTCCCGTAGCCTCCAGACTTTCGCGGCATTTTGCAATCCAAGCCACAAGCTCTTCTAATGCGACTGTCAAATCAAAAACAAGACCAGATTAGTCAATGTAAAGTAAGTCTCATTTCATCACCGAATCCACGTACTTTTGCCATCATTGTCTTCATCGATGTGTGAAATGACCCATTCCACATCTTCCTGATTGTTTGCTTTGCGCAAAATCGTCATTACCGCATCACGCAGCTCCTCGGCCGACAACACACCATCGCTATCGCGGTCCAAAATGTTCAAGCGGTCTCCAACGTGACGGTCAACCTCCTCAATCTCCACCTCCAGATTCGATAGCATCGATTCTAATTTCTTCATCATACGCCCGGCAGTTTTGTTCTCCGCGGTTTGTGCACCAATACGACCAGCAGCCAACAGTTTTTCCACGTCCATGTCATACTTGTTTTGTTTAAGCTGGCTTACCGTCTGGCGCTCTTTTTCGACGAGTGATTTAAACGCAAGGGACTCCAAAGCACTCAGCTCCTCCAGACTCACAATATTTTCGATTGATTTTGGCACTACAGGAGTCTCCTCCTCGAGCTTTGTCTCAGTCGCTGCGACTGAAGTCGTAGCAGCGGTAGCTGTTGTTGCTTGGGACTTAGCTTTCTCCATTATCACGTCGGCAATTACCTGTTCTACTTCGGTTTGCACTTCCGTTTTTGTTACCTCGCTTTCAGCCTGCTTCTGTGCCTCACTCTCCTTCTTTTGAGCTTCATCACGAAACTTCTCTTCATCCGCAATCATTTCATTTTGGTAGCGAATGCTGTCAAGCTTAAGCTTGCGCATCTCGGCCGTTTCTCCCTCTGCATATGCTTTGGCTGCCAGTGCAACCTCCGTGACAACTTCATCATCCATTGAAGACATGGACGTGGCAAGTGCTTGTTCCAAATTGTCCGTGGCAGTAATATTAAGCGCCCTCGACATGATGAGCAATGACGCTGGAACGTTTTTGTTGATCGACAAGTCGAGCCACTGGCGCATTTGACGCACGTAACCGGCCTTGGTCAAGCCTGTCGCACGCATCCCGCGTTCCATGCACGCCATCTGCAACTCCTCCTTATCCAACGAGTCCAATCCTTCCCATATGATATCTTGATCATCTTTTTTTAGCTGACGAATTCGATTTCGTAGTTGAAAACGCAGCAGATTATCATTTCCATAATGTTGCACACCCATGAATCGACACATGCCAACAAGCTGCGGTCGCGAAATGTTGTCGAGCATGAGTTCATCGTTAAATAACTGCGCAACCTGCAGTGTCTCGTCCGACGTCAAGGGCTCCCCACGTTGCGCTCGCTCAATAAAGTTCATGACTTCGCTAGCCGTCGCCTTGCGCTCCTCCGACACACCTTCAGTATCGCGTGTATCCTGCATTATCTCCTTCACTGTGTCCTGTAGAAAACCTGCCAATGCCACGCGCAACTGCAGCTGACGCTTCATATCTTCCTCGCGCTGGTACGAGTCCTTGTATGTACTCGGCAGCATGTTTGGAAACACCTTAAGTGCCACTGGCAACAGCAATTCCATAAATGGCACAACCACGAAGAATGCGAATGGTACTAGACGAAGCAGATCAGCTACTGTACGTTGCAATTGCTTGCGTTCCCGACGAGATAGTGCGTTACCCTTAAGCAAACGACGCAGGATACGTGTGGACGTGGACACATCAGCGTACAGCAACTTCGTGCCAAGCCAATAGTGGTCTACCTCATGTTTAACCTTTTCCTTCATTTTGACAAGCCACTCTTTGACTGCGGCTGGGTCCGTAAAGAGAATTTGAAGAGCACGAGCAACAGCCTTAACGCCTTGTACGGCGAGCTGTGGTGTCCGCTTCAGCAGTGAAACAGCGCGCTCTGGAACCTTTGGCAACTCTTTCTCTACGTCCTGCACACGAATCATACGACGCTCACCACCTTTCTCGAGCGCAGATTCAAGCTTTTCCTCTAGCACGCGGATCTTGCTGCGACGGCGTCTGGCGGCTGCGATCTTCTTTTTCAGCGCAGCAGTTTCAGCAGGTGTGGGAGTGGCAACTGTATTAGTCGTTGAAGGCTTCGTCGGTACTGCAGCAAAGCTTCGAACTTGTGTGCGGACAAGAAGCGGCGAATATTGCGGCAGCGTCAGGGCCAGTGACAAGGTCGGTCGGCAGCTGTCACGGGAGTTTGAAAACTCGCTTCTTGATATCACGACTGGCACTGATTTGGCGCAGAAATTAGTGCGAGGAATCATATAACCCGCATAGGGAAGAATTCGCTGCGACCGCGCTGCATTGCATACACTCAAGCGCAACATAGTTGCGCGAATTGCAGATCCGTTGTTGTTGCAATGCAATGCTGTTGGCTCATAGGGTGTCTAAAAAGTATTGACGATGTGGTGTACACCAGACAAGTGGTGTATTAATTTGGACTTTTTAATTTTTTTAAAATCAACTAAAGTGATATATATGCTTTCGTGACTGTGCTTTCCTTGCGTTTGTACAAGGGATTCAGTCCTCGCGTAACCGCGTAGATGAAGACGACGGTGGCCATTACGACGAAGGAGCGAGGGCGAGCGAGATTACGCAAAGCTAGTAGCATTCAATGACTTTGCAATTTGCCGACGAGACGGTACATTGAAGCCGCTATGAACACGCAGTGCAATATGTATACGAAAATCGAAAGGATGGTAATCAGTTTAAAGCTTCGCACGCGCGCCGGATTAATCCTTAATTTTGCTTGATTCTTGCGAATGTATTGAGCAGACAGATCACAACTTTTTCGAGCTGAAATCTGCTCACATAAAAACTCTAATGAGCTCTCAACTCTTAAAACCTAAATTCACACAATCTGTTTCGAAATTTTTGCCGTAAATGTCATTTGTCAATTAAAGTGGTAGCATATTGCATACTCTACCAAAGGCATTGTGACTTACACAACGTTTCTTTACGTCTTTGAAGAGAGCAGCCTCAATAGAGTTACAAGAGAGAACGTCGGTTCTGTCATGTCTGCCACACCTATGCACCTACGTTTACAGCTAAGGGATGGCGTGGGTTTACATGTCACGTATACTCTATCTCATTGGCGCCTACGACCATCATAAGATACGTCGATAAGATCATGTTGAATGCGAGATCAAAAGTTTGTAAAAGCCGCCTTGAATAATGCGCATATCGATGTTGCGCCGAAAGGCACTGACTCTTGACTTTATTCAAGACGTACGCATTGAGCCCCTCACGATAATACGACCGTCGGCGAAGAGAGCTTATCTATTCGTTCAATCATTCTGAAATAATGAGGCTGAGATGCTCATGACGCTTTCGTCCGATGCGAAAACTTCAAGCACTCATTTATTTTGCTTGGCAGATGAAAGCCTTATTATTTGGTTTTGAAAATACGTATTTACAGCGGGATTGTTTGGAAAAGCACATCATACAAAAATTACGAATTTTACTCGAAATGTCGTAATGACGAATGCACACCTAAACTCTATGCTCAAAATATCTTAAATTTGGCAATATCACTTTTGTAGTTTGATTGCGCTTCTCTTACTATTCGAAGTACATGCATGTAATGTGATCACTGCGATTTTAGAAAAAAGTATTATCACTTTTCAAATACTGCAAATTGCCGTTTGAAGTAATGCGGAGCAATCTAAAAACGATTGTTCTAGTATTTAACATATCTAGTTGCATCGCTTACCACATTCGGGAAGTACCTGAATGATTCGTGAGGCATGACAAGTGCTATAGAATTGACAATATTTAATTGTACAAAGCACCCTGGGAGAAAAACGTGGTAACGATGACGTCGTCCATCGCAGCAAAGATATGCAGTTTGCGACGGATTTGTTACTGACGCCAGGTACGAAATGTGAGGTATCAGTCGGTACCGCCCATTGCATTCGTGACCTCTTCAAAGCTGTGGTGCTAAATATTTCAGTACAGATAATTGAGGCACCACACGATAGTTGGCAAATAGGCAAATAATTAATCATAGCATTGGTTAAAAGATTTACCGAATAAGTTTTGGTCCTAAAGCTATCAGAATGAAATTTTCTGACTCTATTCGGTTCCTGACAAAAATATTGATTCCAAGGATCAGTTAATATTGCTGGAATATGAATATCTGCGGTAAGACCAGTGTAACACCCTCTGCAATATCAGCGGCGACGCAAGCGACGAGAAGCAGAAACATTGTTGCTGGCCGTTGCACAGATTAAATTGTTATTTATAGTAGGTAAATTGCTCGCTGTGGAATGTCCGCACGGTTGAAAACAAGGTCGCCTTATAAATCACCAGAGAAGTTGGACCCTCTGCCAGGTAAAGTACGCCTTGTCAATACAGCAGCGACATCATTTAGAAGTTGTTTCTTTGTACCTCAAGCGTTATTGACACGCAAATACAGTTCACTGAGACTGAAATGCTACACAGAAATAAGTCTTTTCGATTTTTGGTACTTGCTTAACATACTACTCATTTTTGACATTCAAAGTAATTAATGAATGAGTAGTACAAATACAATTTCTACAATTTGAAATTTTCTGCTCCTTCGAAAAAAGCTAAATTGCTAATCTGAAGACCAAAACGCAAACATACGTTACAGAGTCCGACGTCGCGAATGAGTAAGCAGTCGCAAATATGACCAGTGTCGAGCAACCGGTCTGGGTAAATGTACCATGCGTGAACCGAGGCGTCACGCCCTTGATCGGCTCTGGCCACGCTTGTGCTAGGCACAATGACTCGCTTTATATTTTCGGAGGTGCAACTTTTGCATGGCTTCTTCTGTCTGCATTGACTGACTTACGACGCACCGTTTGTGTCAATACAGAACGTAATCTTCCCACAGTCCCGATACGCAGCAGCTCGGCAAATCGCCCCAGCAATAACTTTTACGAGTATAACCTTGTGAAGAAAGAGTGGACTTCACTTTCCGGTAGTGGTGTGGCTCCGAGTCAACGCAAGAGCCACTCGGTCGTGATTTATAAAGACTCGTTATTTGTTTTTGGTGGATTCGATGGCGATAGACGACTAAACGACTTTTACTCGTATAATTTCTGTAAGTCGAAGAAATTTGTTAGTATGATTTGGCTAGATGTAAATTTAACGCGCATTGCAGTGACACAAACGTGGACTGATGTATTTGTAAATGCTGGACAATCACCGACGCCGAGGTTTGGCCACGCTGCGGTGGTATATGGTACGTCTATCTTGACTCGTTGAGAATCTTAAACATTAAGTCGTTACCTTTAATGTCAGACAACGAAATGTATATCTTCGGTGGAAATGACAACCATTATGATCGTGAATCACTGTCAAGTCGGAGCTCAAGCGAGTATGGTAGACCAGACTCTGGTCGCCACGTCAATGATATGCATTCCTTTAGCTTGGGTACGCACGTATAGATAAAAATGCAGCGTGCGACAATTAACTCCTTTGTCTCGTTGTATGCTAATCAGAAACAAACTCGTGGTCGTTGATTCGTGCTACGGGAGAGGTCCCGTATCCTCGGTAATATATGTTGGTCAGTATTCAAGCTTAAAAATGTATTTATGTATCTTGTATTGCTAGTGATGGAGCCTCGATTGTGGTGTACAACCACAACGGTTTGCTGTTTGGGGGATATGACCGCGACTTGGGATGCCTCAACGATGTCCACCTGTTTAATTTTGGTAAGCAATGGATTTGTGTGGCTTTGATAATTACAACTGTAAATTAAGTAGCGGCCTGTTTTGACAGAAACTCGAGTTTGGTCGAGGCTTGAAACCAAGGGCACACCACCAACAGTTTGCAATCATCCCCTTGTGACCCTGTACAAAAATTCTCTTATAGTTTTCGGTGGAAAGATGGAACCGAATCTATATCAGCTTGATTTAGGTATGAGATGACTCCGCTATAATGGTGTTGACAATGTAACGATTGATTTGAATTTCTCTTCTCGCAGAAACGAACACTTGGGAAGCTATTGCATACGCTGGCCCGTCCCCCCAAAACAGCTCACCTCTTGGATGCATTTACGGCAGTAACTTAATCATCGTCAGCGAAGAGGAGGACATGGTTTGCATTCAACAACTTTCCTTGCCAGAAAAATGTATTGACGTCAAACCTGAGGAAGAGTTGGAACCAAATGAAGACAGCACAGTTGTCACTCACTTACGGTCACTTATCAATAACCCGCTTATGAGTGATGTCACTTTCTTAGGTAAGGTATGTGTGCTTTGAAGCACGTGTCATCAAAGTAACTAGCGTAATTTTTAGTCGAAGGTGAACCAATTTTTAGCCACAAGAGTCTTTGTGTCCGCTGCGAGTACTTCAAGGCAATGTTTACCGGAGAGGTCAGCAACAAGTTACTGTCAAAATGGATTTTGTGCGAGTTTAATGCGATTATAATGTGATTATTCATATAGATGAAGGAAAGCACGGCTCGTGTAGTAGAGATTGCAGATGTCAGTCGAGCGACGTTCCTTTCAATACTAGAATATGTATACACAGACCGAGTCGCTGTTGCAGATGATGGTGTTTTAGAGCTGTTGATTGCCGCAGACCGGGTTCGTGTACCATATTATGACATCTTCTCATGAAGCTTACTTTTAATATTCTGCTACAGTATGGCATTGAGAAACTTCGGCGGCTGTGTGCTCAGAGACTATCAAAAACTGTGACTGTAGACAATGTCTCAAGCATTCTTCAGGCAGCCGACCAGCACAATTCTCCGTCGTTGCGGGACAAGTGCTTCGCTTTTACGCTTCAAAATTTTGATATCGTGTCAAAAACTCCATCGTTTGTGCAAATGGCTCGGACGGACATTGAATTAGCCTTGCAAATTTTGCAAAACCGATAAGCTGCTCCATGTGTAGTAAGAGGTGTCTTTTGAGAAACTCGATCAGTACAAAGGGTATTTTTGAGCACTGCAGTGTTTTGCATTTTTTGGATGCTAATACATTGTATTGTAAATCAATCGGCGGATTCAATAACTTAGATTAATTGCGAAAAAATGAAAAGCTTACAAAAAAGCTCAAAGCGTACGAGCGGCATAAAACAGGGCAGTGAAAATCTTGCTAGACTCGATTCATAGCAGCAGCGCATAGCGTTCGCACGACATACTGCACTTGATACCAGATTTCTTTCATTGTCTCCTTCCCGTCATTATGGCGCCCCGAGTATCTGTGATTTAATTTCGGCTGAAATTTGTCTGAGCGTACCAAGTTATCGGTGAACAGCCCCACCATTGCTTTCATTGCAATATGTCGCCCCACACACCCTCGAGAACCAGCACCAAACGTTAAGTCAATGCCAGCAGCGAACGCATCGTCCGCCATCTCGTCCAACGGGATCAGAATGTGTGTATTTGGAGCAATTCTCATCGCAGCATCGCCGAATGGAAAGTACCGTTCAATAACTGGAAATGGATGTGCACTACAGATACACTGCCGTATACTTGCCGAAGTGATGTGCTCTGTCACAGATGTGGTCTTGACCCACGCTTTGATTATCACAGCGATGTCCGTTATATTAATTGCTGGCGAGATCACGAACGGCTGTAAAATGAGTGAGTAATATTCGGATTCTACCCACTTTTCTCCAAATAAATCATATAGACGAGGAGTTTTTCGAATTTCCTCCACACACCACTCAACCGTACGCTGCTTGACGCCTGTGTCTGCAACTCCTTTGAGCGCAATCTCTTTTCGCCACTCCCACGTCGCGTGACAAACCTCAGCGAATTTATCAGGATCGAACTCTCGCTCAAAAACGTAATTATAAAAGCAAGCAACAATAACCTCGTTCAGCTTGAATGCGTCGATCACTGCATTGGACATAAGTGCCTTTTGCCCATAACTTTCGAAAATGGTCGTGAGCTGCGAGATCGGCTGCAGCACTTGAATAACCTTCATCAAATGCATCTTCATCCTTCGCCACTGCTCTTCATTGATCGATTCCAGCGAAATGACAGGACTCCAGGCCGGCAACGATAATTTTGCTTCGATCAACTGGCCCTTATTGCCGGTTGACTTTAGAATTTGAAGCGCTCTGTCCGGCTCTGTAACCCACTTGAGCTTCACACCTTGACACAAGGCCAGCAAGGACAATAACAAGCCACGTAAAGCTTGAGATCGCATTCCGATTATCGCAAGCACGAAGATATATGCCGCAAGTACTGTTAAGACACAGACCACACCTTTGAGAAGCATTCCATCTGACAACTACTCAAAATATTGAACCAGACATTTTGCAAAATTGTGTATTTTTTCGATATAAAAAAGGGATAACCTTCGTCTAGACCAATCGTAGTAACTAGCATCGCAATGACCGACGTGCAGCCACAATCCTCCGATTCTGACGACAAACACTCGCCTGAAATCGCTTGCAGGTCTAATGAACCTGATCGCGCTTGGTCTACCGCAATTACTAGTGAGTCAATTATGTCTCAACGCATGCAAGGTGCAGATATTGAGTCGATCCAGCTACCCAACAAGTCCGACGTGAACGATCCCGCGACATATAAACGCAGTCAAGACTCCAATTGGAAAAACAAAGGACTAGATGACATTTATAGCATGTGGGATAAACTGGTACCTGTAAATGATTTGCCCAAGTTCGAAGAAATGGGTCTCTTTTTGGTCGAGCATAACCCTCAGACAGCTCGTGAGCTCGAAAAAGTATTTGTTCTGTTGCGACGAAAATTTAAGTGTCTTCCTAAAAAGTCCCAAATGAAGTTCGCGCTGAATGTCTTAGTACAGAAGGGTTTAGCTCCAAAAGGCCTTGCACTGGAAAAGTTGTTGGTGAAAAAAGCGTTAAAGAGTCAATCAGGTGTCCTTGTTGTTACGGTGCTCACGAGTCCATATCCCATGGTTAATGGGAAAAAGCAGAAGTTTAGCTGCCAATGGAATTGCTACTACTGTCCAAATGAGCCTGACCAGCCCAGAAGCTACTTGCATGACGAGCCAAGTGTCCTGCGAGCGAATCGTAACGATTTTGACCCAGTATTGCAGTTTTGCGATCGCTGTGTGACGCTTGCAATGAATGGCCATCCAGTAGACAAAATCGAGCTTCTTGTACTTGGTGGTACATGGGCGAGTTACCCTATCGAGTACCAGGAAAACTTTATCAGGGATTTGTTTTACGCGGCTAATACTTTTTTCGACAGAGAGAAACGACAGCGACACAGTTTGGAAGCTGAAAAGCTAGAGAATGAAACAGCGGCAGTGAAAATTATTGGCATCACGCTTGAGACGCGTCCAGATTGCATTACGCCCGACGAGCTGCGTCGATTCCGTCGATATGGATGTACACGTGTACAATTGGGTATTCAGCATACAGACGATACTATTTTAAAGAAGATCAATCGAGGACACACACTTAAAGAGGCAGTGCAAGCCTTAAAACTCCTTCGTGACTGTTGCTATAAAACAGATATCCATTTAATGCCAAATCTACCTGGTAGTGACCCAGAAAAAGATCGTGCGATGTTTGATTACGTACTACATTCGCCCGACTTGCAGGCAGATCAGTGGAAAATTTATCCTTGTGAAATCACACCATGGACGGTAATTAAAAAGTGGTACGATCAAGGCAGCTATGTGCCGTACGGAGACGAAGATCTTATTGAATTGCTGATAGATGTCAAGGCTCAAGTGCATCCATGGATTCGTCTGAATCGAGTGATTCGCGATATTCCTAGCCAATACATTTTAGGAGGAATGGATGAACCGAATTTGCGTCAAGTAATTGGAATTAAAATGTTGGAGCGAGGAACACCGTGCAAGTGTATTCGGTGTAGAGAGGTTAGAACAGATGATGCAGCCATCGCATCTGCTGAATGCGTCGTTCGACAGTACAAAGCCAACGAGGGTGATGAGTACTTTATCAGTTTTGAAACTTCAGACCGTTCAAAAATTTGTGGTTTTGCTCGCTTGCGTCTTTCGCCGACTTCCGGTGGTGGTATCTTTCCGGAGCTAGAAGGCGCTGCATTGGTCCGGGAACTTCACGTTTACGGTCAACTTGTGGCAGCCACTACCAAGTCAAAGACGAAAACCAGTGAATCTTTGGTTGTCACGAAGAGCTCGCATGCGCAACACACGGGCTTTGGTACACAATTGATGATCAAAGCGGAAGAGATTGCTCGAGCCCATGGATACAAAAAGATGGCTGTGATTGCGGGTGTAGGTGTCCGAAACTTTTACAGACGATTGGGATTTGAAATAGAGGGAGAAGGGGAACTGATGATCAAGCACCTGGACGAACTGCCGCCAACAAACGTGTGGTCAAAAACAACCTCGTTTGTGAGTCACAGTTTTGGTAGAATTTATGCAGACAGCCAGCTCCGTACAGCTGCTACAGTGGGAGTTCTGATTGTTGGTGTGGCGGCAGCAACTTTTTTTCGTAAGAAGTAGAAGACTTTACAAATAGATAGCCGACTGGAATACGTGATGTACAGAATTCGTTGAATATCAACAAATACAGATGATATTTTCGTGCTTTACTCTTGATAACAAAATCATACTTTGCATGTTCAAAGTTGATTGTGTAATGTAAACATGTGATAAAAGTTCTTGAATGATATTCATCACCATCCTTATTCGCGCTTTGCCGATTCATCAAAAACTCATGCCATTTTCAAGGCTGAAGGGAAAACACGTGTCACGTAGCTCGCGAGCTGGTAGCGCTTTGAATGCACAGTGAGCAATTCAAATCACGGAAGAGTAAATTATGCTATATAACTTTCAACGTAAGTATTAAGCTGCTGACGTTCACAGTCGGCAGCAATGAAAAACTCTGTCATCTCTCAAAGTATTTACTCGACACCTAGAATATATAACGCGTAACTTGTTTTACGTGAATATGTCTTCGCGAATAAATAATTGGATCTACGCATATATATACAAGAACCGTGTCTTTGAAATAACCTGCTGCTGCAGATACATATACACTTGTGCGCGTTCAGCTGATAGGTACTAATATCCAACCTTTTTCTTTAGATGCATAGATAATAAGCACCATAACTTTACAAGTCTCACTCACTGTATTTGCGTCTTTTGATTACAGAAATTCGTTCGTCTTAGTGGTGCCTAGGAGCTACTTGATCAACAACTTTGGATAATTCGATACAAGATTAAAGTTCTAAATTTATTTGGTTGTTGGCAAGATTTAGCGTCTCGTATCAAGCTCATGATTAAATGCCTGCATCCGTTTGCTTTAGCCACACGCCGAAACGACCAGCAGTGAGCTTGAACATCTTTGAAGCTGGAGAGAATCTATTTAACGTTAGGTAGTAAGATATCTGCATATCATGTTACATCGGCAGAACGTAATTTACCAACAAAATCAGGCCGTCATTTGCACGGAACATTTCTGCATCTCTTCTTCATCAATTCAGATTTCGCCGGCTCAAAGAAAGATGGCGTCTCTCTATCGCAAAAACGTTGGTGTGACTAAGCACGTAATATGTGAACATCGACGAAATCAAGTTGGTGGGCCACGATGAAGGAGGAGAAGTCGAACGACTCCAGGGAAGTCGATACAGATATTACGATGAAGTAGCTTTTTACTATGACCCGCAATCGGGATCATTCTGTGTTCCAGTTTTGTATCAATAGGACAGACAGATATTCAACGTTTTCAGGACCACAACTTCGGATTACCGCAATTCATGGCAAATGGAAGACAATATTAACAAAGGTTAGTTCGTGGAAGTCTACAAGATCGTTGAGCAATGGCAGTCTCAGGATACTGTATGCATTAACAATAAGAGCCGACGATCAACCCTCGAAACGAGTAGTGTGGAAAAAAATAATGACGTTGCCGCAGCTGGTTTGCGCAAAACTCCAGTCCTTATGTCAAATGAAATTTTTTAGGATTATGGTGATAAAAGCAGGTAGTATATAGTCATGCAACAGATATGAAGTTACGTGTCTTCCTTGCTTAGATTAGCGTCGACGAATGATTTGGTTCAATGGAAAGGTAAGTATGACCAAAATGAACTTTTGACATCGCCAATATCCGGTTTTATTAGTGATGTGTTATAACAGTTCCTAATAAAAAAGGTGACCCGAATTAAAAAAAGTTCGAGCGGTGAAAATCTCTGATGCCTTAATCGATGAAAGTGCTACGAACGAACGTAAAGTAAACGATACTGTTGTTAATTTAAGCCGTTGATGGATGTTCTCACACTTAAGACCAACTACTACTGATAGAAATTCACGGCTCTACCACAAACAGCTGGATCTGAGCTTGATGCAACGTCTACAAATGGCTGATGCTGGATGTGATAGCAGAATCAAGACTGCAGATTCAAAAAATAATACAAGGTTGTTGACTTGTAGATACTGCGGATGAAGTAGCTGCATGTTCATGGAATCTCTAACATCGATGGTCAATGGCGAAAGTAGATACAAAATGCTGTGGATTACTTCAGAGAATAAGGACAACCTAGAATCGAATGATCGCAAGAAGAGTATTGCCCAAATCTACGCCTGGATCGAAAATGATTTTTAGACGCGGATGGGAAGTAATATACTTTAGTTTTGTAGCATAAATGGTAGATTGTGTTGCAACCTTACGACACTTTTGAAATGGAAAGTGCAAAGTATTGTAACTTGGATCGACAATGTCTAGAAATCGTCAGCACGTACGTTCCAGTTGGTGATAATGACCTAGAGACGCGTCATAATACCAATTATAGGACGTGCAAGGGTATAGATCCATATATATATTTATCTGCTCCTGATATGATGCTGAGCAATTCAAAACATTTCAAAAGGAAAAAACAAGGTTTAGATACCTTTCTGTCCACACTTAGATTCAGACGTTAGAAATGGTGTGAAACGGCATGACACATACTCTTGAGTGCTCCAACTGAGTCATTCGAAACAAGAGCCATAAGAAAGTGCTTGGATCAAATTAAAAAGCGATGCATATCGCTTCGCTAGCTATGCTCAAGGACCAGCAAGCTACGATATGCTGAAAGCTTGACAACATGAATGATTTCCCGAAATTAATTGAGATGCCATCTTCAGCAATGCGATGTATATCAAAAATCAAAGCTCTGGACAGTTATGGTCTGGATACCAGATTTTTTGATGAAGACTTACAAGCAAAAAAGTAGAAATCATGTTCATACAGCTCAGAAGGAAGCCAGAAATTCAACTTTCAAAATTCAAGTCAGCACTGCACGGGCTACCAAAACTGTTTTTGACACTAAACTGAAGAATTACATTACAAATCAGGAGCATGAAGAGAAAACTAAATCTGAGTGCAATTTTGATGAGTTTGTGTGCGCGAGCAATTGTTTATTCCGGTTTAACTTCAAGCAGAATTGCCACGAGCTGCAAAGTCCAGCTCATTCAACATCTTCATATGCGTAAGCATCACGACCCTTAACCTGCTTGAGTTCCTCTTTGTCTACCCTGTACACGCCGCCACCGTTATAACCGGTATATCTTTAGCAGTTATTTCCACCTGGGCATCCTTGGGCACTAATTCTTCCGGAATCGGAATGCGCTCCACGATTTCGATACTTTACAACATAAACAGCATAAGCAAAGAGGCTCCTTATGCGCAGGTTTATCATTTAATGCATGAAACTTACAGATGATACAATTGCGTCGTACTTCATGTCGCTCATCGATACGAGCTTGTCAATCTTGGTAACACCGAGCCAGTGCAAGGCATCAGGCATCAACGCCTGGAAGCGCACATCCGATAGTTCGAAGAACCTTGACGCGCCTTGCGCCGGGGGCAACTTTTCTGAAGGTGACGGTTGTCTCCACAGACAAAACACCGTCGTGGGTTTGTGTACTGCCCGGCAGCTCGGAGCTCTGCTCCCTCGTCTTCAGCATAGCTGAGATCCATGGGCACTGGCCTGCTCGACGAGCTGTTGGAGTGTGCATTCCGACCAAGTCGTCTCGACTTGAAATTGAATTTGGCATTCAATGCCACATTCACCGCCTCTTGAAATAATAATGGATGCCCACGAAAGACTTTATTCTGGCCACACCAAAGCGGAGGCCTTCCAATAAGACGGTCACAGTGACCGCCTCAGGAATGGGATCAGCTGCCATCCGGCAATGAGAGTGCGCATCTCTTGGACAAAGTTCACCAATTTCTTGTTGCTCTGTTGAACGGCAAGGAAACGCGCTCACACGCGATATGCCTGGTTAGGCGACAAGAACACTCGTCAGAGCTGCAGTTTCAGCTCCGCCCAGGAGGGAAACGCAGCTTTGACCAAAGCGCCGCGCGTCAGGGCCCATTTTCGTGCTCGACCACCGAACTTTGAGATGGCTAGCGCCGATAATCAGGAATACTACTGATCATCGCTCGATCTATTTAGCCCGATACAAACTTAATGAATATTTTTCGTATCGTCAGCCAACCTTCCAATTTCCTATCTGCGACCCGGCGTTCAATCTTTCGTCAAATGCGATCGGTTTCCAGTCCTGTGACTATGTTTGCAGCGAAGCTGCCGTAGCTCTTGCTTAGTGGAAGCTAAGCTAAGGTCACCGACCTAGCGTTCTTTCCGAGAACCAGTCCAAGTACCTCGGACCTCAATCCGCTATTTCCAAGTACTAAAGCCTTATCAAGGCAAACGAATACTTCATTTCAAAAACGAAAAGCATTTCATTGTTTTAGTTGCGGCAGAGCCGCCAATATCTTAAACCCTAGGAATTCCTGATTAATATAGTTAAATAGCAATACCTAATTAATATTGGCAATCCTGCCACATGGTGGCTTCTTGTTACGGTGTAGCCACACGACTGTGTGATTACACAAACTGTGTAATACACACCAATGTACGGTCGCACAATCTTGAACGAACGCGCTTTTGCTCGGTCTGGAGCATGGCGGATGCGATAGCCATCCCGACCACTCTCACCCAGAGCAGAAAATGCTCTCCATCCTTCCCCCCGAGGACCCAAACGCTCACCATGAGCGGCTTAGGGCGGGGAAAATCATCCGTCATTGACGGTGGCGTCGTATACGCAAATTATGCAGACATCTTCATTTAATTACGGGATATATACATGTATGTATACATAACTATACTTGAAGTAGTATACACTTTAATATTTTTTATTTTTCAAAAAAGTTTTGGTATATTCTTTTATTTTTTTTGTCTGGTAGATTTTTATTTTCCCTATATTCTAGGTTATCGTAAAGCGTAAGAAGGATAATATCAAAGACAATTAAAGCATACTTTACATTTGGATGTATTTCACTCCAAACTAATATTCACAAGTAACCCGCAGCTGGTGCGACCTTTACTTTCCTCTGGGTGTTTGTTGATGCTGATTTGAAGACTTGAAGCTTTCTCCTTGTGAGGTGCACGGAAACACTGTTGCACTTGGTAGTACTTATCGTCAATATGGCGACCGAGGCTTGATAATTCTGTGATCATCGTTAGGATGGCACATGATATGCTAACCTATCTATCCCCGAGACAAATCGACATGATTGAAAGCTGATGTCTTCCGTAATCCTGAGAGGATACCGCATTCGTTGGATCAAACATTGGAAAACAGTTATCACTCGCCTTGAGGCGTTCCCCGGCAATAAAATTGCAGGTTACTGTGGGATCCCAACAGAACGGCACAGACAGGTCACTTATGCTAAGCATCTAGCCTTTAGGGGGATGTAGAAGTTGTTGATGTGCTATGGAGGTGAGATTGTCATGACTCTGTCATCACTTCAGACAGATCATTAGAGTAGCGGACTTCACGATAGAAGGTTGCGCGTGAGAACGATCACTTGCGTACGGGACGTGCCAGTCCAGCATTAAAATTAATATGTGCTCGTGCACTCATCGCATTGAAACATGCTAATAAAATTTATGATGCTAGAAGATATAATCACCCTACATGGAAGACATCAACATTTGCAGCAGCAAGTCACGAGCATTCAAGTGAAACCATTCTTCCACTTGCAACTAAAGACTCGAATCCCATCAGTTAAAGTTAATGAGATTTAAGTAATTGTCTCTAAGGCTTTGGGATCCACAGTACGTCTTCTCCCCGACATGACATCATAGCTTAGTTGGTGAGGCATTTTTTCTCCCATAAATGGTTCATTTAATTGCGAGATATATAACTCCAAGTAGTGTACACTTCTTCAAACTCAAATATCTATTTTATTTTTCTGTTAGTTGGTAAATTTTTTCATTTTCCCAGAAGGTATGACATGCATAGCGTGAGGTTAGCAGCCTCAAACTTTTCCTCTATCACTCTCACCTGTTCCGAGCTTCAATCATGATCATTAAACTATACTTTGGTATTTCTGAGCTTCGTTCTAATTCCGAGAAACAATAATGCTATACCATAATTTGTGTCAGAAAGATCTATATTTTAGAATTTCCCTTTTATCAGTAGACAACTGTGCCTTGAAAACGGTACTCCGTCATAACCACACGCAATCCACCCCTTACAACCGAGATGAATCCTAACGCTGAGATTGTGGGTAAGTCGCAGGCGCTAATGGTCAACGTTAGCGCATCCAAAGGTCTTCAGGGTGTGCTTAAATCAAATCTCGGTGCGTCAATACTTACGTCTTGGTTTGTCTTTGCTCTGAGTACAATAATCTTTTGACAGATCTTGTATCAATAAATAGGCCCGCGTGGTACGCTTAAGATGCTGGTTGGCGGCGCCGGTCAGATCAAGCTCACGAAAGATGGCAATGTACTATTGCACGAGATGCAGATTCAGCACCCGACGGCGGCGCTTATTGCTCGTGCGGCGACGGCCCAAGATGACGTGACGGGCGACGGAACCACGTCCACTGTTCTCTTCATTGGAGAGCTACTGAAGCAAGCAGAGCGCTTCTTAGCCGACGGTCTACATCCACGAATTCTGTCTGAAGGCTTCGAAATTGCCAAGGACGAAGCGTTACGAGTGCTTGATAGTATCAAAACTGTAAACAAAGAAATCCTCAAGGACCGCGAGCTGCTTTGTAGTGTTGCTCGCACATCGCTACGAACCAAGCTGGACCAAAAACTTGCCGATCAACTCACGGATATTATCACGGATGCTGTGCTAACCATTGCGGTTCCTGAGCGTCCCATCGATCTGCACATGATTGAAATTATGCACGTACGTATTGCAATGATTCTGACGCTCTAAGAGGTATTAATATTTTTGATGCTCATATGTTCAGATGATGCATCAGAGTAGTAGTGATACTCGTCTTGTGAAGGGTCTTGTGCTTGATCATGGCTCTCGTCATCCAGACATGCCCACATCTCTAGAGAATTGTTACATTATGACTTGCAACGTATCGCTCGAGTATGAGAAAAGTGAAGTTAATTCGGGCTTTTTCTATAACAGTGCTGATCAGCGTGAAAAAATGGTTGAAGCTGAGCGCAAGTTTACAGATGATAAAGTGCGTCAAATTATTGATTTGAAGCGCGAAGTGTGCACGGAAGAAAATAAGAAAACCTTTGTGGTAATTAATCAAAAGGGTATTGACCCATTGTCTCTGGATATGCTGGCCAAGGAAGGTATTCTAGCCTTGCGCCGTGCAAAGCGTCGTAACATGGAGCGCATCACGCTTGCTTGTGGTGGAATGCCCATTAACTCGACGGAAGATATGGATGAGTCTATGCTTGGGTACGCTGGTAAGGTGTATGAGCAGACTCTAGGTGAGGAGCGCTACACGTTTGTGGAAGACGTGCAGCATCCAAAGTCGTGTACGGTTTTGATTAAGGGTCCTAATGAGCACACGATTGCGCAGATAAAGGACGCTATTCGCGATGGCGTACGTGCTGTCAACAATGCTATTGAGGACAAGGGTGTCGTTCCCGGTGCTGGTGCTTTTGAGCTCGCTGCTCACGAGGCACTTAATAAGCTTAAAGGCATGGTGAAAGGTCGAGCTAAGCTCGGTGTCCAGGCATTTGCGGATGCTCTGCTGGTGATTCCAAAAGTGTTGGCAGAAAACTCTGGTCTCGATGTACAGGACACTTTGATTGCTGTACAGGAAGAGCATCAGAATTCAGGCATGCCTGTGGGCATCGATCTTTTCTCAGGTGAGCCCATGTTGCCGGAACAGGAGGGTATTTGGGACAACTATCGAGTAAAGCGACAGTTTATTCACCTTGCCACCACGTTGGCGTCTCAATTGCTGCTTGTGGATGAGGTCATGCGTGCTGGTAAGCAGATGAGCGGTGGAGGTATGCCCGAACAGTAATCAGGTGATATTCGCCGAGTCATAATAAATGAAGAAATTGACAAAATACTTTGATTTTTACCGCACGAATAATAGATAGAAAACCAAAATATCAGTAATCAACAGTGCTACGATGATGATGTATAGACAAATTCTTTTCCGATAAGATCTATCCGCAATGACCTGTAGCAAGTGGTGTACTTGGCCTGTCATGCTTGAGGTCTCGGAAACCATATTATTCATGTCGTGAAGTTGCGAACGCTGTAGCTCCAGATCCACAAGCACATTTTTGGCTAGCTGTTCGGACTCATTTAATGTTCGACGTGTTCGCTCAATATCATCTGATGTGCGCATCAATCTCTGGACACTCTACTTAACACAGCAATTCTTCAAGTTAGTTTTCAGTGAAAAGATCGACACACCATTCAGTTTACCCACAGAATCTTTATTTAAAAATGTGCTGTAGTTGTTCAGACTACTTGGATCAGGTCCTCCACCCGAAACACCTTTGTTGTTACCACCAGCAAATATCCCACCATCATTGGCTTCATTGCTATCAAGGCCGCGTGGACCTAGCAAGGCTGACCGTTCCTCCCGATTGAAGAGCATCTCTCAGCACTTGAATAACTGTCAGGATGATCTAAATAATGTGAAATACTTCATTTTTCTTATAATGAGCTTTGGAAAAACGAACTATCGTAACGGTGGCACGCGTGGCGGCGCTGATAGTACGTTGCTAAGGCCGTAATGATAACTGGCATATTGTCAGCGCAGATTAAAGTTATGTCACTTTCTTGCTTTTCGTGAAAACAGAATTTACGTGGGAGGATGTGAAGAATGACAAGTATCGAGAAAACTACCTTGGGAATTCGGTGCAGGCACCTGTGGGTCGCTGGCAGAAAGGCAAGGACCTTTCTTGGTACGCAAAAGCCAGGAGTTTGCAGAAGAATGTTGCATTGCAGTCGGAGCTAGAACTTGCAAAACTGCGCGATGAAGATTTGATGAACGAAGCTTTGTACGTTGTTTTAGATTTATTGAGGAATATTGTTGGGATTATTATGAGATAGAAAAGCTTACGAAGGGCATTGACAGAGGAATTGTCCCTAAGAAACGCCGAGAACCTGTAGAAAGTTTGAGCACGTTAGAGATTAAGGAGCTGCTAAAGAGAGGAGAGGCGGAGCGGGACGGGATGGATGTGGAGCGTGTGGAAGGTCTCGGTGCAGCGCCTATAGATTCCGATGGTTTCGGTATTGGACCGAAGCTTACGCTCGCGGAAAGATACAAAGCTCATCTTGATAGCGGCAAAAAGGATACAACGTACGCGCTGCCAGGTACAGTAAATGAGCAGTTGAATTCTAGTGAAGCAAAGGTAGCACAAATGGAAGCACGGAAGGCTGAAAAGGCAAAAAAGAAATTAAAAAAGATGGAGAAGAAAGAACGAAAAAAAGAGAAAAAAACGAAGCGCAATTGTATAACAAAATCAAATGAAAATGTTCAAGACAAGCTGCGTCGCCGTAGCCATCACCATTTGAAAGACAAAGGGGGGGGAAGGATTCAATCACGATCTCGCTCTTATTCTTCGCAGAACAGAGGTCGAACATCGGCTCGACGTTCGCGCTCGATTAGCCGATACCACAATCGATCGCGATCTCGCTCACACTCTCCAAGTGATCGTTATCGGCGAAAACGCTCGTACAGACATTTCCAAGCACATCGTAACCGATCGCGGGGTTCTGCAAGCCCCTCACAACATCGTCACCAATACCTTCGGTCTTCTTCTGTTAGCCGACGCCTAAGAAAACATTCACGCTCTCGATCTTGACGTCGTGGTTAACCCAAAGCCTTTCACAATACAATCACTCACGCCATTCTAAATCTATCTATTATATAGACTTTCGAAGTCTTAATCCGATTTTGATGTCGTATGAGCCTTCTTTTGTCGTCCACAGCGTTCAGAACTGCCATCTTTCAGATCATGAGCTGGCAAGTAATATCCTTCCTTTGCGTCTTCGCCTTTCCTCCAAAGCTCTGGGTTCTGCACGGTATCAAAGACATTTCCAAGTGATGTGTACCCGTGGTCATACAACGAGCAATAATCCAGATCACAATTACGCAAAAATTTCCAAACATCAGCGTATGTCCACTTAAGTATGGGGTTCACACGTAAAAAAGCAGGCCACCCAGGGCTGCTTGGCGAAAAATGTTCCATGTCTTCCGTATGTGGGTCTCCACCCCTCACACCCATATAAATGCCCTTTATTTGAAGCTTGTCCAGAATGTCTTTAACACCCTCAACAAATGAGCATTTATATACGTGGCAACTGAGTCCATATTGCTTGGTGCATTTCTCCGTGAATTCTCGCACCTCCTGGAACTGGTCGTACGAGTCGAAATACATGACGGGCACGCGCTGTAATTGTGCCATAACTCGAGCTTCCAACTCATCTTCGTCCATTAAATCAGCTGATAGAAAACTGTTTCGCGGCGATGTAATAGTCTTGGGACAATCGACGGCCTCGTGAATGCGCTCTAGCTGCACCTCCTCGAGTACGCGCTTGGCTATAACAATTCGAAGTAGATGCAGTATTACAGTCGAATCCTTACCACCATTAAAGCTAAAGCAAACACCCTCTAAGCCAAAAATGTCGATGGCGCTGCGAATTACGTCTAGCGCCTTCTGTAGTCGTCTCTTCATGGCAGCGTCTGCACCAGCATACAGGAGGTCGAAGCGCAACAAGATGGATCTCATACCCGTATTGTTCATAATTTCTAACCGGGTGTTGGAATTCCTATAGACGTCAAGATGGAGACCAGATACGAAGAATGCTTGGTTACTTTTCACGTAACGCGATTGTTGTTCGCTTTCAGATCAGATCTGACGTATTGAAAATAGCAAACAAAAAGCCTTTCTTCTCACAATAGGTTCAGATATTAATATCTAGAAATGGAGGTCTAAGTTGTCGAGACAAAAAGAAGTGCATGATTAAATTATTTTGATTGCAAACAGTTAGTAAGCGAACATACCAAGCCCATTACAACGTGATCTAAGCGTGATTAGTATATTTGCTTCCTATAAGGTGGCCAACAAGGGTAATACCGCTACAGTGAGAGTTCGACCCTAGTGGTTGAAATATATCGTCAATTTTGTCGCAACTTTTCACCTTTCATCTACGGGCGACTGAAATTTAGTATACTACGATGATGAAGTTACGTTTTATACTGTTTGTTGAGCGCTATCGTGCATATGAATGCACCAAATTCTATTCCACAGCGATTGTGTCGTCGACATAGGATAATGGGGCCGTATGGTGGACTGAAGGGAGATTTTCATTTTGTTCGGTCGAATAAACTTCAGATACAAATGTTTTAGCGTTCAACCATACCCCAGCAGCAAAGGTGACATCGTGCTCCATAAGCTGCTTGTATAAAAGCTCATTCTCAAAGCCGGATGCTGGGGCAGAATACTCCATCTCAAGATGCAGAGCTGCACAAGCGGCAACAGCTTCAGCTTCAAGAACCGACATACTTCCAAGCTGCCAGTTGCGCGGGTTGCTAATATTGACACACGCCGGCACGAGATTGGCAGTGTTGCAATCCACGCTTTGCCAAGTCTTTGCATTTCGCAAAAGTGCTACACACTCCGATGGATGCAGCTCTTTTCCGTCCGAAACAACCCAAATGGTAGCTTTGATGCGATTTGGAGTGAGATTGTCTGGAGAAGGCAAATTCACGCCACAATCCACCACGCCTGGAAGTGTACTCTCATCAAGCAAGTTTTGGTTGATGCCAATCTCACCGGCTGCATTGAGAAAACCATACTCAATTTCGCTTGTTTCTGGACGAAGGATTGTAAAATTTTCGTCGAAAATGCCGAAATTTGATTCTGATCCGTGAAAGCGACAATCTGGAAACGGGGAGATTGGTAGAATCGGTTCTTGCCAATTGCATATACTATCCTTTACAAAAAGAATCTCTTCTCCGATATTCAAGTAGTCGACGCCACTCATAAACATAACACGCTTACCGACAAGAAGAAGCTCTTCAATAGTTGGCCATTTTGACTGATACTGTTTAAAATCAAAATCGTTAATAATTTTTCAAGAATTCTGGCAAAATCACAAGATGCAAGCTTACCACTAAATCAATTGGTCGAAGAATTTCATTTTCAAGAAAAAACTGTTTTAAATAATCAAGTAGTTTTCCAACCTTTTTCCACCTCATGAGATCTGTTTCGTCATCAAAGAAGACCATCAGGAACTCATCTTGATGCTCTGGGGCATGAAGCCACGTCGACAATTCACTTAACGCTTCTTTTAGCGGTCTTTGCTCCTTTGTCGGAATGCTGCTTAAACTTGGCTTACAGCCGATTGTTCCTGAGTCCCACTCGATTCCAGTGCCCAGTAGTTTTGCAACGTCGTTAAAGACTTCAATCATACTATCCAGCAACTTGGACTTAAATCCTCCACAATGAGCTATATGAAGATCCCCATCGAACCAATGCACATCAAGCTCAATAAATCGCACACCCATTTGCAGTTGATCCGTTAGGGAGAAAAACTGATCATTAGTGTGCACTGTCATTCCCTTTTTAAACCACGAGAAATAGTGCAAGTACCCTTCGAACACATGATCTTCCACACCGTATCCATCAGCCATACTAATCGCCGAATTGTGTGTACCCAGCAATGATGCAGAGCATAAATTTCGACGGTATGCAAGTTTGCGTTGTAATCTTAGCGCCTTCTGCAGCCACTGGTCCACCTGAACACTACCGTGTTGACAGACAATAGCACATACACCCTTTTTGTCACAATGTTGAATTTTTGTGCATTTGACTTCTGGAGGGACAAGATCAGGTACACTTTTAAGCACTTGAGCTTGAAATTGGGCACTTTCCACAGCGAGTTGGTCCGAATTTAAAGTCGATAAAGCGTTTATAGACAAATTAAATTGCAGAACTTGGTTTGTCGAGCTATCTAAAGTGGTAGAGCTGGCTAGATACATACCCATAGAGATAATTAAAAGATGAGCGAGATAGCACGAGGCAGTTTGGGCGATGTATTGCGCGCTGAGGCTGCGATGTGCCGACTTAAAACTCGCCATCGCCTTAATTTAGGTTATGCGCAAACTACTTTTCGTAAGCAATGTGGACACGTAGTGATGTTGTAGCTTTTATTATATTTACAATACCAGTACAATGATTTAAGAAAATATGTTGCTTGTTAAAAAATTCAGCCGAAAGCGAGTACGTTAAGCTTATCTTTCACATCTTCCACCGCATTTTGTACGCGCTTCACGAAGCTTGGCGATGACGTCAGCGATTTCTCGGCGATGGTGATTTGATGACTTAGCGCGCTCAGATTAAACTGCTCGCGTAAAGTCGTTTTAACGCGAGTGTCAACACGTCATAGCTATCACGAGAATTGCGATGATAGTATTTCGTCGTGCCTCCAGACACAAAATCATCGTGTCTATCAATCTTTTCCTTGCTACTTTTGCCAACGAGACCGGCAAGTTTGCTCTTGTCAATTTGAAAGAATTTGAGTTTGCCAAGCTTAAATTCTTTGTAATCCTTTCCGTCACTATTGCAAAAACGACTTTCTTCTATCTCGTGCTTCTCCTTGTCGTCATGAACGAAAAAATTGTCGACAGCACCCGTGACGCTCGTAGATTGACTTTTTCTCTGATCAAATTTGCGCGCAGTCGTCTGCAAAGTATCCATAGCTCTAGCCGTTGCACTCATAGTGTTGCGTGCTGCTTTGATCTTCAACTCAGTCGGTTGTAGACTTTTCTTGATGTCGTGAGCAACGCGTTTGAGACCGATCGCCGTGTCTTTTGCGGTGCGCATGTCACTCCGCATGTGCGAGACGGCGGTGTGCATGAAGTAATTGCTGTGGTTGCTGTCGTAATGGACAAGTTTTTTATTGAGTAGCTTAAGGCATTGAATAGCGTCATCGGCGGTTTGATTAAGCAGCATTTCGAGGGAAATAAATTCTGAGTTGGCGACAGCGTTTTGGGCCGGCCTTGTTGATCATGCTACTTTCTACTTTTTTCTGACAAGGCAAATTTGTGAGATCTGAGTACGATAACTCGTTTCAATTATGCAACATGTATCTTATGCAGAGGATTGATGGACTTTGCTGGATGTCCATTTCTCCTAATCAATGCTTGAGACACCATTGTGGATGGAAGTTTCTTCAACAATCACAGTTCTCTCATTAAAAATTTGATGCTTCTCACGTTTACTGTGTAGCCTCGCCGGGACAACTATGTTAATGTCCTTAATCTCTGCCACCACGTGCGAATGCATGCGTCAATTTTGTTGTTAAAACGTAGCGGTGTTGTGTGCGGCCATCTTTCTTTACATTGCAGTAGCACGAGTAGTATAGATAATTGTATGAAATTTATAGTGGACAACTATCTAGACACAGCACCTCCTAGCTACCTCTTTCTAGTAATATCTTATACTCGACCGTCGATTCATTGTATGTCTTTGGATACCTCCTTTATAAACAAGTATTTCGTATAAAATGAAGACGAGAGCCGAAACTGTTATTTTCATCCACATCGAAATCGAGACACTCGCGTTATATGGGAAAGTCCAACACCGCCATCGGCGTCGAACCTTTAAAGCTCAAGTTATTGGATGGTGTGGTGAAGTTGATTCCTTAAAAATGTAGACCATCGCCATATAAGAAGTATGAGCAGAATATGCAAAACAAAGTATGAAGATTGAGTTCAAGGGCTAACACAACAGATTTCTAATCACTAAAAAGCGTCTCATGCGTGTTGAGGAATCTAGGTAAGTTGAACTTGAAGTGAGCCTTGAGAAGCGTCGCACTTGTTTTTCGTTGTATCTAATATAATCAAAAAGACCCCGTTAGGAGTTCACACTTCCAGTCTCAGTTGAACAAAAGCAGCTGAAATAAATGGTACAACAAGCTTAATTTTTAACGACGGCAGCCACCAAACGTAGTCCATGCTATTGACATCAAGGCATAAAGGCTCCTTGATCCAAGCTCACAATTCAATTGTCTATCTCCACGCATTGTATAATTCACATGAACAAGACCGATCACAACGCTGCCACGAATCACCAGTTTGCCTCTTTGGAGAAGGTGCTAGTCAAGACTGTTAATGACGCTATAAATTGCCTTAAACTGCTGAAAAAGAAGCTTTCCGATTACGACAGTCGTCATGGCAATCACTTTATCAACACCGCTGTCTCGTACATGCGCAGCGACATGCGCGCAGCCAAAGACACGGCAGTCGATCTTAAACGCATTGCCCATGACATCAAGAAAAGCCCACAACCGAACGAGTCGGATATTCATGCTGCTCGCAACACTATGAACGCAACGGCTAAAGCTATGGATCATTTGCAAATTACTGCGCGCAGCTATGACCAGGGAAAAGGCCGATCCAAGGGTGTGAAAGGTACTTTTGATAATGTCGTTGGCCATAATGACAAGGAGAAACACGAAAAGGAAGGAAGTGTCGTCAGCAAAAGTGACGATACGAAGTTCAAAGAGTCGAAGGTTGGCAAAATTTTTGGCAAGGATGACGCGGATAAGCAAAACAACAATGTCGGTCTCTTTGGCAAGAATGACAGAGAAAAGGACGACATTGATGGTGGTAAGCTCGGAGGCACAAGTGATCATCACCATGCTTCAAAAGCGAGTACCTTTGGTGCGTCTGATACCGTTGAGACGCTAGTCAAGTCAACTTTGTCGGAACATTTTGACCTCCAGACGCTGAGTCACCAAATTGACCTTACTGAGAAGTCACTGATGGCGTCGCCAACATCGCCAACATCCTCTCCGACATTTGTCGAGCGTGCGAAGGAGAAAGTGAAGGAGGTGAAGGAAAAACTCATGGGTGACTCGTCGAACGAAGGCCACGATGCCCACAAGCAAAGTATTACCCCGTGAACATATTCTACGGTAAAAAAACTTGACAAAGGTGCATAATTCCATAGGTTTCAAATCAAAAAAGTGTTTCTTTTCTCCCTTGTTCTCCCCTTGTTCTCCCCTTGTTCAACAGCTCTAATCGTTCTTTGTATGGTTATGTTGTGTGAGATTGGCAAATTTACTTAATGCGAATACTCCCTATAACTATTATTCCTTTACAGATCATTGATAGCACCGACTTTCTGAACCCCCAAATAACTTAATTCCAGCGCTATTTTACACTATGAGAATTCATCACTGCCAGCTTCAACTACTTGACTCGTTGAGAAATTCTTCCACGTCCCGATCAATCTCGGCGTCTTGATCGTCAACTGCAATCTGACGCTTCTCCATTTCTTCTTTTACTAACCGTTCAGCCTCCTCTTCTAGCATGTCGTCCAGAACTGTTTCGTTAAGCGACAATGCTGGCTCGTCAAAACGCTGTCGTACGTCACGTGGTCGGAACGACTCAATTGGACGCGATCGACGAACACCTGTAAGACTTGCATTTTCGTGCAAGGTTGGCTCCTGTTCTGGCTCTGCAGTTGCTGGTGTAGACGTAGGCTCAATTGTTGTTAGCGTTGAACTGGACTCAGTCGGTTGATTCAAAGGCTTGTTTGATTGAGTCGGCAACTCATATCTGCAAGTGGGACAGACGTTGTGCTCTACGAGCCACGTCATGCCACAGTCCTTGTGGAAAGTGTGGCCACAAGGAAGAGAAATAACCATCTCATTCTCTTTGTAGTCGCTTAGACATATGACGCATTCATTGTGTAAATCCGTCTTTTGCATGCTTTCTGTCCAGGTCTTCACTGGCAGTTTTTCAAGAAATAGCTTGCTGGTCGGAGGCGGGCCATGCTGCTGTGCCTGTGCACGCTGAAATAGTTCGTTTAACGCACTTGCAAAGCCGTTGCCATTAGTGTCGTCGCTGCCAGGCCTTGACCCGAAAAGCGGAGTGCCACTCAGTACAGATTGTAAATACTGTGCAGGAGATGGCGTAAATGCCATTCGCATGCCATCATTGAACTGTATCCAAACAGTAGGCGGTGGTGGAAGGACAAATACAAAGTTGCTGGTTGATTGGTCAAGTGGCTGCTGCGCGACTGTCGGTCCACTTGATACATTGTTGTTGCTTGAGCTCATTGTTGATGCTGTTGTCGCGTATAATTTGAAAGTCACTTGCTTTGTGTATCGTAAATTTTACTGTGAGGACGTCTGCTAAGAGGGCGCCTCGGTTGATGTGAAGTAATTACTGGCGGAAAAAAAGCTAGAAACGATTTACGATTGGCCGACACTGGATTTCGGAACCGAGTTTATTCTATTCTTATCTTCGAGAAGGTCGTGAAAAGTAATCAGGTGTGTTGTCGAACATTCAAGAACAAGGTCCGAATCAAAAAGCTCGAGTGGAAGGGCGAGGTATGTGGCAATATACCGTGCGTAAAACGTCGACAAAAACGCGAGCTCCATTCAACTATGTGTTAACTTAAGCGATACAATGTTTCATGAACGCCTGTCTAGTCAACAATGACGTGGACATGAAGACAGAAATAGATCTAGCTTGCATTTATAATAGAGCGATCACCTATGTGACTGATTTAATCGCTTTTGCTATATACGTATATAAACATAATTCCTATAATTTTGGTCGGAGCCAATAAAGATATATACTATAGACTGCATGCAGATTTGGTACAAGCATAGCGAAACTGTTCCAAATTACTTTAATGTAGCGCAAATCTGTTATTTTTTGCATATTACAGTGCGTCGATAGGGTACATAGTACATTAGTTTTGTAATGGCAAAGAAAGAACTCGGCCGATTGTCGCATAGAGCATATTACATCTATATGCTAATATTTTTGGTAAACAATAAAAAGTACATTATTTTGTTACACATTAGGCAAACCTGCTTTATTCGAAGACGTGCTTTGATTATAGTTGCCATCTCAAATTGGGTCACTGCTCGAATTTCCATGTGGCCGAGAATTGGGTGTTAGCAACGCAAAGCTTTCATCAAGCTTGCCAAGATTGTTTGGCGTCTTCAGAGAATGCATGCCATGGTCCGCTCCGATCATATCGCACAAAAGATCAATAAACTCATTTGCTCGACAATCTGAAGGTTGCATTTTATTAATAGGCCAGTCATGCAGTCGCAATTTTCCTTTCACGCCGCAAGGCTCCACGGTCACGTCAATGCGTCGCCATGGAAGTACCTGCTGCAAATGGCACAACATCTCGTGCGGAAACTCAACCTCTTGTTTGTTGTCGCAGTCAAATCGACCGATACTTGAAATACGTGGCGCACATCTCGCATCAAGTCCCAGTTCGTGCTCATTAATTACAATCGAGGTGTCGATCTTTGAATTGAGGCGCTCAATAAATTCTGCATTAATTGCATGATCACTTCCATTGCCCGCGGTGAAGCCAAAGTGGTGGATATGCCATCGCCACTCGGTGAAATGCTCCGTCAAAAAACTACTGATATAAGGATTGTAGCTGCGCATAGCAGCTGAAGGATATGGAACAACAACGTCGCCGTCAGTCATCGCTATTAATGTTCCATGACGAAAGCGCTTAAGTGAGTGAAGATACTCTGAGTTAGGATCGCTCATGAGTTCTAGCACGGAACGAGGCAACCCCACTGCAGCCGCATCTATTTCTTTCTCTTTCACTTGTTCTTGTACTATGAAAGAGTCAATAAGCAATCAAAAATCTGCCGCAATCCTCGAATAAATTGCGACAACTTACCATCTAGCAATAAATCCATGCCCGTTTGTCCGTATAATGATGACGCTAACATTTTGTGTACACCGAGACGAAGAATATTCTGTTTTTGATATTGCATCAGTCGAGCATTTTGTCGTTAAAATAATAAAGTTAATGACCAACCTTCACTGTTGATGGCCCTTTCGCCCTCCTCGAGCCCAAATGAGGTGTGCAGATGGTCACAAAATCGACGTATTCAACGTGCAAAAATCTCAGTGCGTCCATAATTTGAACGAGCGCGTATCTTGCGTAGAGTCCACCTAAAGAGTGCCCGACAATGGACATTTTGTAGCTTTCTACATCAGGGCACAACTCATGCCCTAATACAGTCTCAATCACCTCCTTCGCAAGCCTTGTACCACCAGCCTCAACGCCTACTGACGTGTTTAGTTCGTTGGCTTCCGACTTGATGATGAGTATCTTGCCTTCACCAAACTTGGTCACTAGTGCGGACTCGACTGCATCAAAGTCAGCGGCTGAGCCGTTATTACCGTGCACTAACACAATTATAAGCTGTGGTATATACACGGGGCGCATTTTTGTGTCTGATGACTCCATTGTGGTGATATTGCGCTTCACTTTAGATGCGCCGGACTCAAAAACGTCCTGGGATTGTGTCACGTGCATCAGAAATCCATCAAAATTTGAAACCAGCCAAATATGATTTTTCGCATACCGTTCATATTACATTCATCCACAGTCGGTAAAACCGTCACAGCGTCCAATATATAAACAAAACTAACAATGCATCAACAATAGGGAAAATCTAAGCGGTCGACGATAAATTAGCATTTGATTATATCCTATTTTTTCTTCATACTGTGTGGGCTTAATTCCTCGTCTCTTTCGATCGACGAAATAACGCAAATACTAGGTCCTTCTCTTTTAACATACCAAATTAACCCAAGGCGGCCTGCTTGCGCTTGTAATCTGAGATAGCGGCTTTAATAGCATCTTCAGCCAGCATGCTGCAATGCAGCTTGACGGGAGGTAGTTTTAGATGCGATGCGATGTCTGTATTTTTGATATTCAGGCACTCCTCCACGCTCTTACCTTTAAGCCACTCCGTAGCCACAGATGACGACGCAATGGCAGAGCCGCAACCAAACGTCTTGAATTTAGAGTCTACGATCGTTCCATTCTCGTCCACCTGAATCTGTAGCTTCATTACGTCGCCACAAGCAGGGGCGCCCACGAGACCTGTACCAACATCCTTCGAGCTCTTGTCCATTGATCCTACGTTACGTGGATTCTCGTAATGATCAATGACGTTCTCATGATACATACGCGTTAGTCTAAGACCAGGGGCAGCCACGCTAGCAGTGAAGGGCGGGGTGGGGTTTACGCATAGCGAACGCTTAAGGGCGGCACGTGCGATCATCATTCTTCTGTCTTCTTTTTAAGTTGCGAAGTGAGCTAACCACCCACCAAAATCGACTCGTGTACACCACACAACAGTTTAGCTAGAAATTGAGATTATCAGAAATGCATCAGACCGGTTCGATGAGCTCTGCTGGATAAAATCATAGCTAGATGCATCCCGACATATCACTGGGAGACGACAAGCATATTGTGACATCTGAAGTGGCCCTGGAGCTGCCAAGTCATGATTCAACCGGCACTGACAAGGTTTTCACGTTCGTTGTGCCACTGTTACCGAGAATCGAAGAAGACCAGGATGGGGATCTCATCGTTCGTCGACGTGATCTCAACCAACATCGGAAAATTGCAAGCTATAATCATTCCCGAACCCAAAGTCCACCGCATTACAACACTAAAGGAACGGACACAATGTTTGTTTTAGAAGCACGCACTCGTTCCACATGGGACACGGCCGGTACTCAATTGTGGCGAGCAGCTTTTCTCCTCGTCGAGTATATACTCAACGCACCGGTCTCAATACGATATTGCAATGAAACTTTCTATCACTTCTTAACGAGCCTTATTACCTATTTTTCGTTGTCTAGGAAATTTTCAAGAACCAAATTGTTCTCGAACTTGGGTGTGGAATTGGTAAGACTTTAGTCGCCTTCATCTGTCCACGAGCTTATTTCTTCAATCATGATAAGGCTTTGCATCAATCGTGGCTTCTCGACTGAGCCAATGTGTTTATGCAACTGATTTGGATCACGATGCTCTTTGTCTCACTCAAAAGAATATTGAGCGCAACGTTCATGTACGGCGTGTCTACAGATCTAAAACAGCGTGTAATATTGCATTCTTATTATTGGTGATCTGTAGGGAGACATCCGACCTCGCTGCCTCGATTGGAGCGATAGCAACCTGATATCAATAGCCGACGAGACGTCCGCCAAACAGTTTGATTGGAGTTCGACAGACCAAACCGAACTGAAACATCTCACAGTCATTATCGCTAGGTACATTGCAAATCACTTTATTTCTTGCATTCCATCGAGAGCTGAACCAATTGTTGTGGTGTTGCAGCGACATTTTTTACGACGATATCTCAACTCGATTCTTCTTGTGTGCGCTTCATCGGCTCATGCTTCAGTTTCATCATGCCAAAGCATACGTGGCATCAGAACGACGTTTTGTCTTCTCTGTTGCAACGATGCAAGTAGTGTCACTCGGTTATGATACATTCCAGCGGCACATTTGTCGCCACAATCCAGGAACGTGCCACACTTACGTCAGCGCCAATCAAGTTCGGTGTCGACTATGCGCCACCGAAGAAGTTTGCATGGAAGGTGACAATAAACTGCGGTTTGTAGTCGACCTAATTCCAACCAACGATCTCCCGCAGCGCCTCAAATACGATAGAACGTCCACTCTGATACTCTGGAGAATAGACGCGATCATAATTCAATAGTAGCCGATATTTTTTTTATTCAAAGTTTGCCAGCTATCTGGGGCAGCCTTGGCGAGATGTCTTCAAATATACTGCATACATTGGTAGCGAGACGCTAAATCTTCCACAATCTAGGTGAATTGCGCATTTACCTCCCGCTATAGCAAACACGCATAGACTTAGAGCTCAATGTTGTGATGTCACAACACTTGCTCAAGTTCTTGCAGATTGCTGCTGATTCCAGATCAACTGCTTGTTTCAAGTATGAAACCCCGAGGTCCGCTAAAGTCATTGACCTCAAAATATGCGATAAGTTGATGCAGTAATTTTTCTTCAGCACTTACAGACAAAATCAGCGGCAAAGCAAAAAGCGAAAACCATCAATGCTTGAACCTGAAGTCTCTCGACGTGCAGCTAGTATTTCGGGTTTAGCACATTTATCCCTCCTCCTCCACGGAGTCCCATCATCTTCATAAATTTCGATACCCTGGTACGTATGAATATTAACAGCTACACACAATTGCACTGTGATTTTTTAAACAATTGTACAATATCGTAGATATTGTACTTTGAGCAATGTTTGATGCGAAATTACCCCGTTACACATAATGTTGAGCAATAAATTGCGACACAACCCTGATAATTTGCAGTAACCTCACGGAACATATAGTACTTCCTCTGTCCGAAAATATAAGCGGTGCTGCGGGGATTGACCAATATTAAGCTCAAATTTGACCTTTTCTGCTTGCTTACTGGCTAAAATTGACGGGTCGAGCCTGACAAGTCGATTGGTGGTTCTCGTGCGAGTTTTTGTTGAACAGAGCCAAAGTTATAACGGTAAACGCACAGCCGTCAAACCCCATTTCGGCTTTGACTCTTCGCCACTCCTTGTGATGGGGTCTGACGCTACTTCTGTGGCAAAGCCACGAAAGAATATCACCCCGCCCGAGCGTGCTGAGGTTATCGCTTTCCTCCTGCGGGTCAGCATTGAGCTACGCCCGCCTCCAGGCGCGATCGGCTCCAGCGCGACTAAGTATGGATGTAGTACTGACCAGATTTCGCGATTGTGGCGCCGGACTACCAAGGACATCAAAGCAGGAGAGCCGATCAACTACAACAGCGGCAGGAAGGGAAAGAGTGGCCGCAAGACGCGTTTAACGCCGGAGTTCCGCCACGCCCTCAACGACGCCATCGAACTTATCCCGCTAGAAGACAGGTCAGATATTCGTACTTTGGCGAATACACTCGGTATTCCAAAGTCTACGCTGCATGACTACTTTCTCGCTGGAGTATTTCGTTGCCACACAGCTCGCGCCAAGCCGATGCTTACTGACAAGCAGCGTATCGATCGAGTCAAATTTGCTGCTAGTTTTGTGCAGCGTGGTCCCGGTGTCTGTATTCGATTCGACAGTATGATGGAATACGTACATTTAGACGAGAAGTGGTTCTACTTGAAGAAGGACAAGCAACGGTTCTATCTTGGAGAGCACGAAGAGGAGCCCTACATCACCGTGAAGAACAAGAACTACATGATCAAAGTGATGTTCCTTGCGGCAGTGGCTCGCCCGCGATGGTCTGCGAAGAATCATTGTATTTGGGATGGAAAGATCGGTGTGTGGCCGTTTGCTGTTTATGAGCCTGCAGAGCGATCCAGCAAGAATCGAGCGGCTGGGACTTTGGAGCTAAAGACATACACTGTCGATCGCGACATTTATCGACAAGCGCTTTGCCGGATGGTCATACCGCGCATCAAAGCGGTATGGCCATCAGGCAAGCGGGTCGTGCTGCAACAGGATAACGCCAAACCGCACGTCACGGTTGATGACCCCGAAGTGCACTCTGCGTGCTCAGCTGGCGGCTGGGATATGAAGCTTACCGCGCAACCAGCCAATTCACCGGATTTCAATGCGAATGATCTCGGGTTCTTTGCTTCACTGCAGTCGTTGCAGCACAAAATGAAAGCTAAAACTATCGAGGATCTAGTCAACAACGTGGACGACGCTTTCGCTAAACTCCACTACACTGCTCTCGACAAAGTTTTTCTGACGCTGCAGTCAGTACTGCAGGAGACAATGCATATCGACGGATGCAACAAGTACAAAATCCCTCACCTCGCCAAGGACACGCTACGAACGAGCACTGGTTTGCTACCACCTTCATTGACATGTAGTGATCGAGTGTACGATAAGGCCAGACGTTTCTTAAGTTCGGTTGGGCAAAAATAAAAAGTCAAAACCGTACTTAGGCTTATATTTTCGGACACGCGCAGTAATAGACACCAGCTTATATTTTCGGACAGAGGAAGTAATATATTGTTAGCATAAAATCGGTGCTTTTCGTACCAGATAAAACAATTAACTTGCTCGCGCCGTCTTCCCATGAAAGGCGTCGACCAATATCAACATCAGCGAATGTGTGGGGTGATATAAATGGTTTCAAGCAAACAAAGACAAACAAGCACTAGCGACATCAGACCCTTGTCAACTCCAAAAGCGGACATATCTTACACAACGAGATCATAGTCGATTTTAACTGGGCCCTCATAAATTGAAACGGAATTAAACGTTGCTTCTAGGTTACGTAGTACCGCAAAGCTATTAATTTTGTTGTCTGGCGCATTGATGACCAAGGCTTGCCCATCACACTAGATCACAAAGATTGTACAGCGAATCTGGTGTGGAAAGCAGCAAAATTGATCAAAATGTAGCATCTCATACCCAAAACCGTATTGATCAGGCGAGTTAGCCCTCAAAGTAATCGATAATTAAGGCTAACAGCAAGTGTCAGCTTCCCTTTTGTGTATTAAAATCCAGCTCAAAAGAGATTTTTAGCTGCAAAAATGGAAATTGTAAGAAATTTAGGCAAGGCATCCATTGTCTCGTCGCGATCCGACAAGCTGCGTTGAATTTGCGCATCCGCTGAGTAGCAAAAAAAAGCTTTTATTGCACGAGTTTATCAACTGCCTCACGGCAACATAAGCCGATTGCTCAAAGTGGTCTATCAACCGATCCTGTGGTGCAGTGGAATGCTGTTCACTTCGGAACCTGGAGGTCCAGGGTTTAATCCCCGGACCAAGTAGAGCGGAGTTAGAGTGTAATGAATAAAAC